AGTAACCCCCCTGAGTTCTTTAATGGAATTCATGGATATGAATTCCATGCCAGGTGAGGTGACTTGAGTGTTGAACAGCGTTGTGAGGCAAAACAGTTTGGGTTTTTTTGGTGTGTGTCCTGTGGTTAAATAATCTCTTAGAAGCTTTTTGCTCATGCTGGCACTTCAACAGAATTGTTTGGGTTACAAAAATCAAACATTTGAGACACAGAGTTTTTAATGAACTGTAGCTTTAACCAAGGAACGCTGTCAGACTCTAAAGCAAGTTCCTCTCCTTTTTGGCTTCTGTATGAGGCTTTTTCCTGCTGTTTTACTGGCATTTCTGATTTATTATGGTACCAGTTCTCCAGAATAAGCATTTGCGCTCCCTATTTTATGTCTACAAACTTTAAGGGAGTTCAGCTGATCAGTAATAATAATGAACCTTATAAAAAAACAGTCCACTATAATTTTTTGCTGTGTTAAAGCTATTTAGTTGCATCAGCCTTTAAAAAATAAATATTTTTAAAGATTTATCACAATTGTAGGATGCAAAGAGCATCTCCACTAAGCAAAATGGGTCACTCTTGATGCTTGAAAGAGTTCAGGCTTGTTGTGGAAATAACAGCACAGATATAAATGGGTATTTAATTCCTTTATAAATGCTGAGTTACTCATCCAGCCACAGCAGTTTCTCAGGAACCATTGTTTTTGACAAACATATTAAATAGCAAATATTTGTTTACATGTCTAATGAATTAATAATGCTCACTTAGTGATTTCTGTTGAAGTTTGTCAGGGCTTTGAACCAACTGTAGGAGCAGAAAGTTCAAAGCATTTGCCTCCAAGTTGTTTCAGATTTGCTGCTCATGGAGAGCACCCAGAGAAGTTGTTGCTGGTGGCAGTTTGGGTGGTGTGGGCACTTCCATAGTCCATATTTCCTATGGAATTGGGTGTGGATGTGGCAGTTCTGTTGTGAGGGAGCCAATGGATGTGGCCTGTGGCAAACCTGGCCCAAAATTTAGATTTTTAGATTTTCTTTTTTTCTTTTTTTTTCCCCATTGAATTATTTCAAGAAGTGAAGAAAGATGTGGAGCTATTGCTATAGGAATGAGTCCAGAGGAGGTCATGGAGATGCTTCCAGGGATGGAGCCCCTCTGTTCTGGAGCCAGGCTGGGAGAGCTGGGGGTGCTCACCTGGAGAAGTGAAGGATCCAGGGAGACCTCAGAGCCCCTTCCAGTGCCTAAAGGGGCTCCAGGAGAGCTGGAGAGGGACTGGGGACAAGGGATGGAGGGACAGGACACAGGGAATGGCTTCCCACTGCCAGAGGGCAGGGGTAGATGGGATATTGGGAAGGAATTCTTGGCTGGGAGGGTGGGCAGGCCCTGTTGAGGTTGGCCAGAAAATGGTTATTTATTTTGACCAAGGCCATGATCCTCCCTGCTCCAGCTTCTAATGAATGCAAAGTTTTAAATCCTGTAATAACACCAGATCTAATGTTAAATAACTATTGGAAGTTACTGTCATATTATTGTTCCTCTAAATATATTCAAAGTACTTGGATGTCATAACTCATATTTAGATTGGTTTTGTTTTTAATTCACCTTTATCATCTCTTAAAATTTAAAATTAGAATATTTTTCAGGAAAATGCTGAGTCTTGTAGGCATTTTTGTGTTTTCACTTTACAGATCTTCCTTCTCTCATCAATTCATAGTTGTTCCTTGCCCTGTCTGGAGTTCAACCTTATTTTTTAGAGGTCAACCTTTTGGCACTTTGGTAAATTGTGATTTGTTCTAAGCTGTTTCCATGTTAGCAGAATAATTTGAATTTAATAATCTAATTTTCTGTCCTTTATACTCCTGGCTTTCAGGGGCTGTTGGCTGGTTTTTTTGGTTGTTTGTGGGTTTTTGTTTGTTTTTTTTGTGAGTTTTTTTGCTTCTTTTTTCTGGTACAAATTGAAGGAAAAACCAGGATTTTTCTTCTGCTGTAGTCCAGTTGCATAGAAAGCTGCTGCTTCTGGGAGCAGCAGTGTTGCTATCCTTGTGGTTTAACTTGACATTTCATCAAAGTCAAAAATAAATCTGTCAAGATTCCATCCTAAAAATCTCTCAGGAGCAGACTCCACTCAAGGGTGTCAGCTGAGCTCTGAGTAACTTTCTAAAATAGAACATCGTGATTGGAGAGCTAGATTTACTTTGTTTTTCAAGGTTGTAAAATCAAATATCAGAGACCTCAGAAGTGGGTCTGTGCACTTCTTTTTTAGGTCTGATAACACCTAAAATCTGTATTTGGATGGGATTTTCCTTAGACTGACCTGAAGACTCCAAGAGTCGCCTGAACTTCTGTATTCTGGGATTTGAGGTATAAAAGGTTGGAGGCAAATACCCCTTAATGGAATCATACTGCTTCAAGTAGAAAAGCAGCTGAACCCAGTTCCTTCAGGAACTTTTGTTAGCAGGGGAGGAAGTAGTGGTGAAATACTGAGAAGCTCCCATCCCCAAAATTCCCAGGAGGTTTGATAATGATGATTAATTGAAATCTATTTGGCTAATGTGTAAGCAGCCTTGATTTCCGAGTAGTCAGCAGGAATATATCATGGTAAAAGTAATTTTGGGGTTTTTAGTGAAGGTTTGGTTACAAATTCCAGAATGACTTTGGAATGGGCTAAGTGGAGGTTTGGATGACAGTAACCAAATGAGCATTTTTTGGGAAGGAGAAGGGAGGGAAAAGGCCCTTTTGAGGTTTTCTCTCACATGGGAATAATAGTTCCTTTGGGAAGTCCAGAATTCTCCTTTGAGCTGTCTCTAACTTCCCGTTTTGCCACTAATTCCCATTTGAGCTGTCAGGGTTGCTCTCTGAGGTTGTTCCCTACAATTCCCCAAAAGAAGCTGATAGTGAGGAGAGGGGAGTTGGGTCTCTTCCTCCAGGGAATAGATGAGAGTATGAGAGGAAACAGCCTCAAGCTGTGCTGGGGGAGGCTTAGGTTGGATATTAGGGAAAGGTTCTTCATGGAAAGGGTTGTAAAGCACTGGGAGGAACTGCCCTGGGGCAGTGGTGGAGTCTCTGTCCTTGGAAGTATTCAAGGCACATGTGACTGTGGCATTTGAGGACAGGGTTAGTGGTGACCATGGTGGTGGTGCTGGTTGGACTGAATGAATTGAATGGGCCTTTCTAACCTTAAGAATTCTGTGACTCCACAATTCCCTGGTGGAATTTGGACAGAAACAGCTCTGGAAGGGCAGGGGAAGAGGAGGAGGAAGGAGGGTGCTTTGCATGGCTTGAATTCCAGGTTCTGTGACCTGGAGCTGCTCTGTCAAGACAAACATGCGTTTGCAACGGGAAAGAACAGTCGCATAAGATCTGTGCTAGGACTGCACTTGTTTGATGACCAATATTGAAGTTTTTCCTGGAATTGCTGCCTGTTGCAGCCTGTACCAACCTCCTGCTGCTGGTCAGGTTGGGAAGAGTCCAGCCTGAGGGGAGGTGGAGCTTGGAAAGGCCTCTCTCCATCCTAAACCCCCAGAAGAGAAGTCGAACAATGTGTGCAGTGTAGAATTTGAAATCATTTTGCTGCTGCCCTTTATTTCTCCAGAATGTTGGTAATAAAATCCAATAAAGTCACCTGCAATCCATGGCTTTTACAAAGGGAGAAGGAGCTGTGCTTGCTGTGAGGGAGCCTCATAAATCACAGATTAGAATCATTGAATTTAGGAAAAACCTCTGACATCCTGGAGATCCCAGCCATGTAATCTGTCCTGCAAGCAAACTAAATATATATATATATAATGCATATCATCAACCACCTAGGAACTTTAAATACTTGAGTAAATATGGGCCACTCAGTCTGGCTTATTACATTTACCTATTTACTCTCCTTCTCCTGTGGAAAAAGCCCCCCCAGGTTTTCCTTGAAAACTCTTGACACACGATTGTTTTGCAAGTTTTTTGATTTTTAATAAAACAATTACTTTAATAAATACTATAATTTGGTTTATATTGATTAAAATCTCTCTTCATTCTGTGCACCTGTCATAGTATTTATCCCAAACTTTATTTATTTGAAGGAATATTTTTAATAATTCAGTTCTGGGCTGTAGAATTGTGCTAATTAATTTTATTAGAATCATGAATCAGAGATTTTTTTAACTTTCTAATGTTCCATACTCCAGGTATGCTCTGGAGTTCAGCCAGACCTGTCTTGGGGATTTTGGTGGGGGATTTTTTGTTTGGGCAGGTTTTTTTTTGTTTTGGAGGTCTTGGTAGGGGAGGGAAGGGAGAGGGTTGTGGGTTTTTGTTTTTCTTGGGAGGGTTTCTCTGTTTTGTATTATTGTTTGTATGCTTTTTGTTTGTTTGTTTTTTGTTTCATATATTTTTGGTGGTTTGTTTGGGTTTTTTTGGTTGTTTTTTGGTTTGTTTTGCTTATTTATTTTTTGGGGTTTTTTTCCTTGTTTGGTTTTTAATTTTACTTTGTTGGTTGTAGGGATTTTTTTGGTCTGGTGCTGGTGGTGTTTGTCTCATTTTCCTGGACACAACCTAACTACCTGTGTCCTTATTTAAGGCCATCCTCAGGGATCATTCCCATTTTTCCTAGGCAATGCCTTTGAATCCTGGGTCTCCCTGGCCTTTTGCAGTGAACCCCCACTTTAATCAGTGCAATTTCTCTGCTACAGTTGCTTCTCCAAAGTGCTTGAAAACAGGAAGGACAACATAAATACTTTATTTCAGGGAAATTATGGAAATCAGATCTGATTTAAGCCAGAACCTTGCATTTTCTTGACTTGGAGGGCTGTGCATGCACAGTTATTGAGTTAATGAGTACACACATCCTGAGTAATGCTAATGGTGCTCTCCTTCCTTATTTTTGTGACTGAAACAATGCCACGCTCTTACAGACTGCATATCCCCTATGTAGGAGATACCTGTGAAAGACTTTGTAGTGGCTCAGCATTGTGCAGGTTGAGTAATAAATGTGTCAAATCCCTCTTTTCCAGCTCTGCCTTGAGTGAAGTTTGACGGAAAATGGTCCAGCAGCTTTGTCTCTGGAAATGGTTCACAGTGGGGACGGCACTTGCTGCTGTCCTGGCATGGGCTCTGGCCCAGAATGATGAAGGTAAGGGTTTGGCTGAGGGGGTGGAGCTGTGGGAGGGCTGGGACATCTCTGGAATTTTGTTGAAATGTTTTTTCCCCCTCAAAATTATAACTTGAAGAAGTAATTTGGTAGGAGCACAGGTTACAAGGAAGAAAGGTCTGTGTGTGTTTTGTACTTCATGGCTTCAGCATCTACTGATGATTGCATTTTTTTGAAGCTGTTGATTTACCAGGCAAGATAAAATCTTCCATTATGATTATTCAGTGTTGGGCTCGAGCATCAGAATTGGTTTTGTCTTATTCATTGTGCAACCTTTTCCAGTAAACTTTAATTTGTTTGTAAATCAGCAGTTGTGGTTAGAACAGGAGTTTGAGAGAATTATTAATGACCAAAATATTGGGAAAAAATCCAAAAATCCAGTGAGGGTTTTCTAGAGAAACAATACTTCAGAAACCTGCAACATGGCACCGGTAGCTCGTGTCACCCTTCAGAGCATCTTGATTGAATTTAATTAAAAGACAACAGAAATGTGTCCTGCCAGTGATCTCTGGTAATTAAAAATTACAGCCCTGGATAGCTGATTAGGGTTTATTCTTTTGAACAATTTAACAGCATTGAAAGACAAAGTCTGTCAGAGTTGTTCCTGAATACTCTTGGGAATAATGAGTGGGATAAGTGAAAACTGAGTGTGGTTTCAGAATGTCTGTAATGAAGTTGCTCATTATCCATGGCACTCCATGTGGGTAGAACTGTAATTGTACAAATTGATGACTTTAGCATCCTTTTTGGTTTAAAAACCTCTGTTTTATCAGTTAGGAAGTAAAGTAATATTGCTTCCATGGGAAGTCTTCAATCCTGCTTGATTTATGCTTTGTTTTTTGCTACTGAGTCAAAAGTCTCTGTTTCTTGCTCTCCTAATCGCTCTCCAAATGTCCTTTTATTCCCTTCCATCCCCCAGCCCAACCCCATGTTATATTTAATGTCCATAATGTACAAGAAAGCTAATTTAATTTTCTCCATTTTTACACCGTGTCATAATCACTGTCACTCCTGACACTGAAGTGGATGAGCTGCTCACATTTCACATATTCACTCTGTGCTGGGTTGCAATTAACAGGATTTTAATCATTTATTGAGGTTGAGGAGAGGGGCCATCAGGATGACGAAGGTTGACCTTGGTGGTGGTTTGAGGAGGAATATCCTGGGTTGGGTGGAGGAGAAGCAGCAGGATGGCGTCTGAGGAGAATATAATGGGGATTTTTGGTTGAGGAGCCATTTCTAGTAAGGCTTGGGTGATGAAATATGCAAAACACAGATGGCCCAGACAGGACAGGAACAACTTGATCGCCTGAAGGGGAAAAAGGGATCCCTCAGGTTTCCATTTCTGTTCCTTTGTACTCGTATGACAAATTCTCATCTCTGTGTCCTTATCCCAAGATTTTTCAGAATCCTTTTTCTTCCAGGTTATTTAGAGGAGGGGAAAGGCCACCAATCTTTAATGGCAGTGTCCTGTGACTGAGCAAATACAGCAATTCCCTTACTTCAAAGGGTTATAAACATAATTTTTGTGTGAATTTTTTTAGCCTGGCTCGTGCCAATTTTATTTATCACAGAACCCATTTGATTTTATCCTTGGTAATGGTTATATGACCTGAACAAGGCAGCTTTGTTATATTGAGTATAAATTTGCTGCCTGTAGCCAAAATTCTTGCTGCTTTTTCAGGGGGACTGTTCAGAAATGCTGTTTCTTGGGGAGCATGCAGCACCCTGATACAAATTGAACTGATTTCCTCCCCCACACTGTGTTCATGAAAGGGTAAATGTAGCTAAAAGCACTTTGGATAAATTTCACAGTGAAATAGAGAAAAAATGAGCTGGAATTGGATTTAAGCCAAGGTGGGGCACTGGTGACTCAGCAAATGGGCAATGCTTATAGAAATAATTACTTGGAAATATGTTTCTTACAGCTAAATAGAAAACTCTGTTCAGGGCTGGGCCTGGAGGAGTTCTGATCTGCAGGAGCAGAATTTGTAACCTGAAATATAACATAGAAAAGATGTGTTCTTCTGGCAATTGCCATTTCTAAACAGTGTAGTTCTCTTAACAGCAGAATAATACATACAAGTAAATAAAAATTCAGCTCTGTCAAAAATGATGTGTTGTTTCTTTGCACTCCACATGCCAATCCTCCATTTTCTGGGCAGCAGCTGTGGATGTTGACTGAGTTTCTTTCCCCTCTTGCTGTGCTTTGCTTCATTAACTCATAATTTCTCTGTTTCATATGTTTTGCTTGACCTCCTGTGTCACCAAATCCTCCCCAGCCACAGCAATTAATGATGTCCCAAAGTAACTTTATCCAGGAATGCCTTGGTCAGGCTGCTTTATTCCTAGACTTAGCAGGAAGTTGCCCCATGATCCCATCTGCTCCTGATGAAATTCAAGTACTTCCCATCTACTGTAGTCCCTTTGTATTCAAACACACCCCTCTAATTATTAAAAAACCCAATACTTTTTGTTACAGAGCCATGCCCATCAGTCCTAATTTACTGTTGATGAGCCCATTCAGTGTTTAATTTCAATTCTTTCATCCTGTAATGCTTTTGTTCAATCCTATGGTACGCCAGAATAAATGTTAGGCTTGAGTGTGGATGGGGAATATTGTGAGTATTTTTGGTTTGATTTTCTGGAAAAAAAGAGATCTGGTTTTGCAATTCCTGCTGTTGTCTCTCTTCCAAACAGAAGAAATGTTGCAAAGGTTTAATTTTTTTTTTTCATAGTCTTTTAGCTTAAGTTCAAATAGAAATGTGTTACTTGTAGCTGTGCAATACATGAAATTAGGTCAGCTGAAATCTTTCATTTTTCCAGTGCTGCTCTACTGAATTCAGAGGCAAACTCTGAGGCTAAAGGAATCAGGGAGGAGGAAGGTGGAAACATTGGATCAAATTTCTCCCTTTTTTCTTCTCTCTAATCAAATGTCTAGAGCTGAAAGAAAAAATTAGCAGCAACTTTTGGCCAGCAAAGAAGGCTGCTGAATTCAAAACTCTCTGCTCTTTTATGCCAGACCAAACCAATCCAGCAGCAATTATTTGCCAATTAACATATTTAATTACCCACATTGAGTCCATACCCTTCATGAAAATACAAAAGTGAGCTGGAGGGGCACCAATAATTTATTCTTTACTATTAAAAGATGAATAGAAGGCAGAAGTCATTCTGATCCCTTTTAAAAACCAAAAGCAAATGTGAAGATCCACCCACAAAATTTGCAATGGATCTGTTCTTGGTGTTTTCAGAAGCAGTGTAATGGGGCTGTGAGTTGTGGGGATCTGTTTCATACCATGGAATCTTTGGAGGGTTTTTGAAGATTTTTGGGATGCTGCTTTTAAAGTTATTTTGCTATTTTTTATACATGAATGAAAAGAACACTTTAAGGTCCTTATATTTCTCCTGAAGATTTATAGCTGTAAAGGAAGAATAGTGACAAAGATCCTGAATTCATATGCTCAGGGATGAGCCCGTCTTGGTCCTTTTGTTGTCTTGTAAATTTGGGTTGTGTTTGAGGGGCTTCTCTAGGGGCAGGAGGGGGAGTGCTGGGCTTGATGTCACCTTTCCCATGCATTCCCCTGACCCAGGGACCTGTTACACCACCCTGTCACACACCAAAAATGTCAGTACTTGGGTCCCACTGGTGTTTGGTGTGGAGCCAATGCAACCACAGGATCATTTTGGTTGGAAAAGACCTTCAAGAGCAGTGAGTCCAACCATAATGCTGGAGATAAGGATTTCTAGAAGCTTCCACTCCAGAAATCTCCTGGAGCTGTTCCATGAAATCATACCTTCTGACTCACTTGAGGAATAATACTTGTTTATCCCATAGGAGATGCAAACAGGATGTTAGCTGTATTTCTCTTGGGATGTATGGCTAAGAAGGAATGCTCTTTTGATTATTTAATTTTGCTTTTTTCAACTCTATTTTGGACTTATCACTTTAGTTCTTCCAATCTTCTGGTTTCAGACTCATTTCCTTCCTTTTCCTTCCTTTCTGCTTCACTGTGGAACAAGAGATGAGCCATGGACACCTGCACTGTGGAATATGGATCTCACTGCTGGCTCAGTGGTTTTGTTTCATTCTGAAACAAAATTTCACAAAATAAAACTAATCAGAAGATTTGCTTATCCAAATATGGATTTCATTTCCTAAGTGTTCAGCAGATGGATATTTTTTTTTATCAGAATGTAATAAAAAACATTTAAATGGTCTTTGGCACTACCCTGAGTGGGGGTGACTTTTTAAGTAATGTAAATGTGTAAAGTAATAAAATGTGTAAAACACAACTGTTTACTTGTGCCACCAGGACCAAACCCCTTCATCTGTTTTTCAAGGCCCCCTCTGTTAGTTAATGTCTGTATTCAGTCTAACAGTCTTCTCCTACAAAAATTGAATCACTGAGGGGCCTTACAAATCACCTTAAGAGGCTGTTTTAGAAAGAAAATAGTTTCAGATCTTGATCTATTACTGTTGGGCAGGAAATTAACTGGGGAAAATGCATATTTGAGTACTTAGAGCCCATTGATCATTTTCTGAGCCCTGTAGATCCAGGGAGAGGAGAGAAATGCAACCAGGTTCTTGCCTGAGGGAAAGTGTCTGTTCTTGGGAACAGGAGTCATTTGTGTTTTATGGGGACTTGCTGCGTTTGGTTGGGAGCTGTGCCATTGATCCTACAGGGAAAAGAGCTCTCCTTGATGTTGTTGAGTTGTAGTGGAGCCATTAAGTTCCTCTGAAGGGTTTAGTTCTTCAAAGTGTCTTTGAGTGCCACCAGCAGCACTTTGAGGAGACAAGATGAATTTCCCTGAGGTGAGAGGTGAGTTATTCACAAAATAGGGGCACTGAAACAAGGTTCATCTCAGTTAATGTACAGATTTTAGCCCTGGTGAAAGGAACCGAGGATCCTGGGATCTCCCTGTGGCTGTGCTGTGAGGGATGAGGCAGGAAGCTGCTTCTGGAGAAGGAGGAAATCCCA